AAAAAATACAAAAATATATAAAATAATATATAAAATTTTATATATATTTAATTTTAAATATATTGTAATCAATAGATCGAAGATCGATTCGTAACAGTGAAAATGTCGACATCTTGCTAGTAATATAGTAAAGATATAAGTATAATTTACACTGAGGTTCAAAATTGATATCATGTTAATATAGAAAAAAAGAACACGTATATTATGTAGATCGTTTATTATTTAAAATGCATATGATGAATTATTCAAACTCATTAAAACAATGGAAAAAAAGAAACAGGAAATATTTTCTTGAAATATTTAGTTCTCAAGTAATTTACAATTATCGAAATGTACGAATTATTTCCAAAACATTTCTTCCAACATTTTTTAATCAATTATATAGATATCATAGATTATAAATCAATACAGTGTAAAATATTTCTACAAACATAAACAATTTATATTTCTCGTTTATATTGTTGTAAAAATAAGAATATAAAATATAATTCGATCAAGTGCTAATGAATGTTATATTGATAAAAATTATTGTCTATTTTTATCTGAATTTCGATCGAAAATTCATAAAAGAAAATATTATAATTTACTAATTTTTAACTTATATTAGTCTGGAAAAATAAATTCGTTAATTAAAAGTAAAAGCCATTATAAATATTTTTTCTGTATCATAGTATATCTTTATTGTCTTTAATTCATTGGAAGAATATTCTGATACATATCAGATATTTGAAATAAGATTATTTAGTTGGACGTTTCGAAACATTCAAATGACGGAAAATTCAAATCTTGATTGACATTTTTGTGAAGGTAAAATTTTTGAAATATCTATGATTCTTTTAAATATTAATTATTTTTTTTTTCATTTTTATTTATTAAATAAATTCATCTTAATCCTTTTCTCCTAATTCTGATTAATTTATTATATTCATTAGGTGTATTTATGCTAATCTAATTTTTTTTTAGCATTTATGAATTTTTACCAATTCCAAATGAATTAAAAAAAAATTTTTCTTTTAAGATGAATGTTTACTTATATGCAAGTTTTAACATTTCAAATATTTTTTATTAATTAGATGCAAAATATTGATATGTTATATATACTGAAAATTGAATATTCCAAATTGAAAAGAAGATCAAATAAAAAATATAGAAGAACCGAGAATTTTAATTTAGGATTTTAAACAATCCTATTTGGCAGGAATATATATACGCAAGATGATGTTAATTAGAAAATCGTTAATACTATAAAAATTCCCTTTTGATGAAATATATATTCTGTTTTTCAAAATTCACAAAAGTTATCTCTGTCTTTGCAATTTTGATATATATACATATATTTTTGTTCAGAATATATTTTAGCATAAAGAATACGAATAAAGAGAATACGAAATAAAATTTGGAAAGTTTTCTGCTATATACTTTGTATAATTACATTTTTCGTCGACTTTAAGGCAAATTTCGAGGTAATTGACGAAATATGATATTGACACGAATTTCTTATTCGGCAATATTCAAAATTTAATTAATTTATGAAGCAGATTATTTTATAAAAATCTGAATTTAATAAAAATAGAAAAATCAATCTATTTTAAGATTAAGATTAAGAGATATTAAATAGTATAATTTATAAGATTTATCTTTCTAATAAATAAAGGATTGAAGAAGATTAAGCACATTGATATAGGAAACAGAAAACATTCCCGATTTTTTTTTTATCTATTAAAGATTCTGTTTCATTGACTAATGGATTTTATGCACAGGACACGGAGAATCACAGTTCCGGTTGCTTCAAAATACTAATCAGCTAAATCATTGAAGATCACATAAGATATAAAGATATAAACTTATTTTTGTAGAGTTTTTGATTTTTATTATTTTAGTAGTTAACGAGAAACAATTCAATAATTTTTAAATAAAAATAAATAATTTGAAAAATAAATGAAAAATTTATGAAGTATATTAAAAAAGTAAGTGAATAAATAATATTATGATAATCAGTATTCTTAAAATTTTGAGAAAGATCTATTTAATATATTAATATAATATCAAATCATACGTGATCTTCATATTTCAACGAAATTTTATGAAAATAGAATATACAAATTA